AGTTTCTGAAGAGGAGGGAAAGGCCTTGGGATCAGAAAGACAAGTGTCCCCAAATGTGACCCTGGGCAAGTAAGCTCGCCCGCCCTGCTGTGAGTCAGGTTTCAGATGGAATTCTGGCCCTCCCACTTCCACACGCCACCTCCCCACCGCTCTGACCATCAGTCTTCTCATCAGTAAAATATGAAGACTAGTAACAGCATGGAATGCTTGCTGTGGGCTGCGTACTACTTCAAGCACACTACATGTTTTAAGTGATGTCATCCTCCCCCCAGCCCCACAGGAGAGGTGGGGGGACTATTTGTATCTCCATTTCATGGCTGAGTATTCTGAAGGACAAAACTGTCATTTGCCTGATGCTGCCCAGCCAGTAAGTACTGGAGCCCGGGACGGAAACCTAAGCCATCCGACTCCAGAGTCTCTAGTCTTTTCCAAAGCAGACGGCTCCCTACCTGTGGGGTTGTGTGAGCACTGGATGAAATAATACATGGAAAATATCTGGCCTGTGGCCAGGCGTGTGGCTGTTAGAATTACCACATCACGTCAAGTGTAACTGTGGGAATGTCTATAGGTCTCTAGCCTAGTTCCTGGCAAAACTCTAGAAGCTGGTTCTCTTCCCTCCTGAAATGATGAGAAAACAGAACAGTTTCCACAGTGCAAGCAGACACAGAAGAATGCTCAATTAGGCAGGTTATTTTTTTACCCTTTGATACAGGGATTAACTTAGAACCTGTGGGATATACCTTTGCTACAGGCAAATTCATATCTCTACTCTGATTTTCTTGTTTTTCTTATGCTTCTCTTTTATTGCCTTTATGATCTTCTCAAGAAAAATTAAGGTTTCCCTGGACTGGGAGAAGCTCGAGTCGAATGTCACAGACAGTAGAATCAGCACAAAACATTGCCAGTACTTGTAAGTTTTTGAAGGCTCTAACTTCCCCTTAGTTCACGAGGGTGGGGAGGAGGGGCTGCAACTGCAAAGCCAGGGCCTCGGAGGTGTCCTCCTATGGCTGGGTTTTCCTGGGTCTACCCCTGGCTGGGGCATCCATCTATCCTCGTGCACACACCTGCCTACATCCGTGCTCCCATAACCTGTCATCCACATGTCATTCATACAATTACTTCTTCACAGCCACACCCAGACATCCCTTTCCCCTCCAGGACCCTCTACACACCACATGTGGCGCACAGACACCTTCTTTACTTGCCCCAAACCTGCTTACTGTTTCATTCATTCTGACAGCTTGCAGGTAATGAGCCCTCCGTGCTGGGCGCTGTGCTACATACTCAGAGATCTTTCGGCCACAAACACATACACAAGGGCTTGCACACACGCCGATTTTCCATGCAGGCATTTGCACACCCCTTGTACATATAGCCACAGGTAACCCCCACATACTCAGATACGTACACATCCCCACGGAGATCCACTGTCCGTTAGGCCCCTCCTATCATCAGGCTGGGTTTAGAATGGTCTTCGACTTTGCTTTCTCCGTGGCATCCAGCTGTCCTCATGGCAGACAGGGTAAAGGTGGTCAGTAGGGTACAGGGCTTGTGAAATAGCACAATTTTGAAAATGCTGGCAGGTTCTAGTGTGTGATGTTTATCTTTGAAACATCTATCCTCACCTACTTTCCTTTTTCCAGGGAAATGCTCCATATTTCTCCCAGTCATGGGAAAACCCTGGTTGCAGTCATGGGCGGGAGAGCTGACCTGGGGGAGGGCGGCAGTGGCCTGATCTAGGTCAGGCTACTCCGTTGCTGACTGTGGACCCCCGAATCAGATGAGGGCAGGGGAGAGGGAGGCAATGAGTCACACTGCCTTACTCATCCCACCCTGAGATCAGCCTCTCCCGACAGGAAACCCAGAGCGGGTGGCCACCAAATTCTCCTCCCTGTGCTGACCCCCTCATGATGGCACGTTGTTCAGTCTCACACGCCCCCTATTTCCAGCCTCCCACTGGCTCCCCAGAGCCCAGTTCCTTCCTTTGCAAACACGCTCTAAACCAGGGTGTGAGGTCCTCAGGACCCCAGAGGTAAAATTTCAAAGTAAAGGAGCTCTGCTCTGAGGGGCACAGGGTTGGGGAGTCAAGGACAGTGTAAGTTCCCTTTAAAAACAAGTACAAGGAAGAAGCCCGGGATCCTGGCGCAGGGAGAACCACTTTCAGGAGAAGCCAAGAAGAAGCACTGTCCTTCCATTCGGCCCAGACTCTCCAGCTCCCTCCCCAGAACCTTCAGCTACCAAGTGGGCAGTGGCATGGTTGAGGGCACAGACAGAGTGGACAGAGTGGTGTGTCTGCCTCTCTGAGAGACTTGGGGACAGACGCTTCCATAGTTCCTATGAACGGGCTACCACCACAGACACCAGGGAGAATAACAGCCAGGGGCTGAGGAGAGAGGATGTCCTCATCTCCAATTCTACAACGGGAAACCTGGCTTTCAAGGTCATCTTTGACATTGGGGGCGGGGGCTAGAAGCAACAGGGGTCTAGAGAAGAAGCAGCTGGGGGTGTCTAAAACACGAGTGGGCAATTCATGGATTATCTATCTATCCCTAAGAAACTTAGAAAGTAGCACTCGGGTTTGGGAAGAGACGGGAAGGATGAACAGGCGGAGCGCAGAGGATTTTTAGGGCAGTGGGAATACCCCATATTCTCTAAGGACAGACACATGGTGACACACTTGTCCAAACTCGCAGAATGCACATCAGCGGGAGCGAACCCTAATGCGTCGACTCTGGGTGACTCTGGCCTGTCTGGATCGGCTCACCGGTGGGAACACATGTCCCACGCTGGGGGTGTTGCTCACCGGTGGGAACACATGTCCCACGCTGGGGGTGTTGCTAGTGGGGCAGCTGTGCACCGTGGGAGCAGGGGCGTGCAGGAAACCTCTACCTCCCTCTCCACTTTGCTGTGGGCCTCAAACTGCTTGAAAAACAAGTGTTAATAGAAATCAGTCTAAGAGGAAGAGAAAGAGATTAGGCAGGCTGGAGACCATGAGAAAGCATGAGATGTCCCAGAGAGATTGAACTTTATTGAGATTTCTTCCCCGATGAAATCAGAATGGCATTAACACTGGAAAGCTTCCAGTTTGGAGAGAAATAGCACTGTTCAGGCACAAACACTTACAGATAACTCCTCTTGGGGGGAAATCTCAGGATCCTCAATTTACCCCAGGTCCCAATCCACGCCCCCCCCGCAACCAAAGAGTCAGAATTCTACTTGAAATCCACATCCACAGAGCAGGGCCCAAACAGCATGGAAAGCCCAGGCGAGCCGGCTGATGAGCCCACTGGCAATTTAGAGAAAAGTCAGGTCAACAAGAGAGGAGAGGGAAAGGAGGGAGAAAAGGCAAATGAATGGAACGAAGAAAGGGAGAAACAATCACACTGGTCATGTCATCCCCCGCCCCATGAAAACACAGATCCTGAATGAAGGTACTGGCCTCCTCACACCCACTTCCCGCAGAGTGACAGGGGCATCGGCTGCTGGCACGGGTCTGCACTGTGCACCACCCCGCTGCATGGAGAAAACCAGACCTGCCTGAGCTGCTCGAAGGCATTGGGAGCATCAAGGAGCAAGGCGGGAGGGCAGACTCTTGAGACGGTAGGTGCGGTGAGGCAAGGGTGGATTTTAATGAGAAGAAAAGCAGCTCGTTGGGCCCTGGTCACCAGACTCCTTGGGCGCCCCAGCAGACCCCAGCGCTCTGCTTGGCTCTGTCCTTAGAAGCAATGTCCTGGAGGCTCTGGCGCCTCTGGCTGACTTGTGGGAGGTTCCAGGCCCTGCTGCAGCTTGAACCCGCGAGCTAATCCTTCTGGGAAGCAGGAATTCCGAATTCTCCGCGGGGACCTGATCTGATTGACCAGCAGTTCACTTCCACGGCCTCGTCCTCGGAGTGCCTCCCGTCCGCCTTCATCTTCACTTTCCTTCTGGTCCAAGGTGACCTCCTGGTGCTGGTGGGCCCTGACTCAGGCCTCACACTGAAGCCCCCCAAATCACTCACTCCCAAGGGAGACTGGCTCATGAGGCCGCAGGTGCCGCAGAGGGCAGCCCAGGGCCAGGTCTCCTGGATTTGCACAAACCATTCACTCACCTACTTTTCATCAAAAGGTTCCTTCCCTCCACTCCCTGCTGCCCTCCGGGGTTGCCCACCAGCCAGGCAGGAGCCTCACAGCGCATCCCTTCTCCGTGCCTGCTGGGCTCTGCTGTCTCCCTCCTCTCGCTCTCGGACAAGGCAGGACATGCATATTCACACGGATTTGAAGGCACTGGCTGCCCTGTGGTACGCGTGGTGCAAACCAGTATCAATTCAGGCGGACACTGAATGTGAAGCCTTGGCTTCTGCCCGCACCGAGTGCCTGATGCTGGTTCTGACTCGTGGGCAATCACTCTTGAGTTTTGAGTGTCGGCACATCAGGGAATGGAGAAGAAGGGGAAGGAAAAGCCATGGCGTGAAAACCAGGAGGGAACGACTCTTCTGCAGAGCGTCTCTGCAGAGAAGGGATGGAAACTGCCTCCTCCTCGTCTGGGGGAGATGGGCTGCCCAGAGAAGACCCTCAGGAAAAGGAGCAAGGTTTCCATCGTCCCCTCTGAAACCCGCCTTTGGGGTCTGAGTTTTCCAAGACATGCAATAGACAAAGACACACTGCAAACCAATTAACCCTCTGAGCCCCTCTGGTACTTGCATGGAACACTCAGCCTCCTTTTGGGGCCGAGAAAGGGACTGAGCTTCCCAACCAGCTTAGAGGACTACATCAGAGAAATGGCAGGGGGAAGGCAGCACCTTCTCCTGGCCCAGGGGACTCCTGTTCTCTCTCAGCATTCTGGTATCCTAAACTGTTCCCCCGCTCCATGAGGAAGGAGGGAGGAGGGCCTAGAAGGAGGAGGGCCAGGAGACTGCATGAGAGGAAGTCACGAAGGACCCAAGCAGCCCTACAGAAATCAAGTCTTCCCTCTTTTTCCCAGCTTAGAGACATAAAAGAGAACTTCAGCTGCTTTCAGCTGGACGCGCATCACTTCAGTATACACTAGAATTTAGCTGCTTTCTGTCCCTTCGCAATAGGACCCAGGAAAAACTGGCGGGGCTTGACCTGCCTTAGTCAGGCCCCCCACGGAAGCAAGAAGATGGGCACACTATATAATTCACAGTTTCCTCTCGCCTCCCTTGACCCACACGCTCCCCCACCACTGGCCTCAATTAACTCCCAAATCTCCGGCATGTAAGGATTCTTGCCAGTGTGGCTCAAAGGGTTAATAAACCAGGACTTCTCAGACAGTTAGGACACAAGCTCATCCACCAACAGGAACCCCAGAACGGAGACACAATGACCTAGTGTTTCTTATAGCGATTCTTTGGGGTCTCGCCACACCCTGTTTTGTCACAGTTGAGAGCACCTGGATTCTTTCCTAGCCCGAGGCTTTCCAGGAGGCCGGGGAGCTCCTGTGTGATGGCCCGCTCAATCTTCTCCAGGAAGCAGCCCCCCATATAGGAACACTGCTGGGACAGCAGCTTGAAACTAGAGATGGGGTTGATGCCAAAGAAGTCCTTGTAGGCCTCGCGGTTGGGAAGGTCAAACTTGCTGACGTTGGTCTTTGCCAGGATGGTCTTGAAGATGTAGAACTTGTCGGGGTCTTCCACAATGTCCTTAAAGACCAGCTCTCCATCGCTGAAGAAGGTCATTTTGTCCTTGTAAGTCTGCAGATAGCGGTCGACCAGGAGGGCATGGATGCGGACCCGGATGGCGTGCTGGCGGATGAAGGCGATCTTGTTCTCCAACCTGTTCTCGATCACCTGGTTCAGGTCTTCCAGAAGAGAGATCTCTTCCTTGAGGAACAGGTCCCAGTGGGTATCGGGCTTGTAGTCTTGTGGCCAGAAGGAGCTGACGTACACCCTCGGGGGCTCTGTGACATTGATGAGTGGGGCCAAGCTCCAGAAGAGGGCCCCATAAACCCGCATAAGCATCTGCGTGGCCAGGTTGTCGGCCTTGTTCAGGATGATCCTTATCTGGGACTCACGTCCCTTCAGCTGGCGGAAGAGCATCTCCAGCTCCAGACCCACATCCAACTTGGTTGGGTCAAAGACGACAAAGATGAGGTCCGCTCTGTCGATGAACCACTGGCACACGTCATTGAAGGGGTAACCTTGGGATGGGGGGGAGTAAGAAGTCAAGCTGAGCAGGCTTACCCTAACCCTTCGTGCCCCCTTCCAGAACCAAACCATTGCCTGCACTGAAGGAAGTAAAGGCAATAGGGATTTTCTGGGCTTTTTAAGACTCAAAGAATTAACTGCATATCTCGTGGGCCTTGTCAGCCCTGAGCCAAGAATAGCTTGATCCTTGTCTTAATCTATGGAATCCAAGGCTCCAGGAAAATAAAATACTTTTTCAAAGCGGAGATCTTTCTACTGTTGAAAAAGATATGGGACAGTGGCAAAGACATTGAAGGGATGAAGTCAGGGAATTAGAAGGATATGAGGGAGAGGATGTGCTATTTAGGGGGAAGCGATGTGGAGCTGGCCCAAGACCCAGACTGGAATTTGGGTTCTACCACTGGCCAGCCCAGAAGAGTAAAAGCTTCCAACCTTCACCATTTTAGTTACAAAATGACAAGAAGAACAATAGCACCTAGGTCTATATAAAGATTATGATGTTGCTGTAAGTAACAGAAAACACCTAACTAAAACCGCCTCTCACATGGTAGGTTCTCAACATATTTTAACTCCTTCCACTTATTTCCAAAATGAGGAGAGTAGGAATACTTGTCTTGAAATTCTTCTACAACAATCAACGTAATGCACATAATTATCCGATGCATAACAGAAGAAGAAAGGTGAATTTACTATCATAATTATTAGTGACAATATTATTACCAGTAATAAAATGGTCATAAAATCAAAATGAGAGTTATAACCATACAGTGAGATCCACCATCTGGGCCTATAGTCCTACAGATGCCCTGTGATGACTCATCTCTGCATACAGCCCCGTGTCACGGTAATACTTAGCGACCTCTGTCATAACCTAGTGTCTGCTGGGCCCAAAGTGGCACTCTTCTCCCATTGGAAGAGAATTTTGGGAAGTCTAATACAGGCTTATGGTCAAGCAGGCCTGGTAAAGTAGACCCTGGACCAGGAGGAGTTTGAGGTCAGGTTTAAACCAGAACCCAAGTTAACCAGAGGTCAAGTACACGTGGACTGGGATCCGATTTGCCTTGGACAATGCTGGCCATCTTTCCTCTCCCCTGCCTGCCTACCACCCACCAATGACTGTTTTCTAACACAAAACTCAAGGTGTTCGGACACAAGTGCTCCATTACCTCTTTCTTGCTGCTTGCGGTTTTCGATGATGCCTGGTGTATCCACGAAAGTAACTCGCTCCAGAAGTTTGTGGGGAACCTCGATGCCAATCAGCTTCTCTAGGAAATTCTGGCCAAATTTCTCGAGGGGTGAGAAGGACCGGGTGCTGTCAGCAGCCATGACGATACCCTCGATGGTTTTCAGCTTGGGTCCATGCATGAGGACGGTGAACTCAGAGGTGGTGGGCTCAGCACCTGCACGCATGGGCATGAGGGCAGTTGGAACACAGTCACCTCTGGGACAGAGACCCTACTACAAAGTAAGTGGATAAGCAAGGGGTTTCAGGATGGGTTTGCCCCAAAAACTGGATACCCTGTTTGCTAAGCTAGTGTCTTCTTTCTTTTTTTAACTGTAAAATAAATGTCACGAAATTTACCATTTTACCCATTTTGAGTGTACAGCTCGGTGGCATTAAGCACATTCATACCACTGTGCAGCCCTCACCACCATCTGCCTCCTGAACTGAACCTGTCCCCATTCATCCCCCCCTTCCCAGGCCCTGGTAATCTCTGCTCTACTCTGTTCTCTGTGGATTGGATGACTCTAGGCTCCTCCTAAATGGAATTGGAGGACATCTGTTCTTTTGTGTCTGGCTTATCTCCCTCAACATAGTGTCTTCAAGATTCATGGATGTTGTAGCATGTTTCCAAAATGTATTCCTTCTTAAGACTGAATGATACTCCTCACTCTATCGTACGGATAGACCCTTTGGTTTATCCATTCATTTGTCTGTGGATGTTTGGGTGGTTTCCATCTCTCAGCCATTGTTTACAAATTCTCCTGTGAACACGGACTGTAGCTGTTGGCTTCTTGTATGTAACTCCCATTGTTCTATCGAAGACACACATGACTATTTCATCGTGCCTGCACAGAGGATACTGCCATGCCAAACACACGTGCACGAGAATCCGCTATTACCTGTATAGAGCTGGTAGCGAGTGTTTTCCAAGCCGAGGAGGTAGTTTATCATGGTGGACTTGCCAACGCTCCACGGTCCCAGGAATAGCACCATGGGCTTGGAAGTAATCTCCCCATCTGTAGGCAGCAGGAATTAGACGTGGAAGTGACTGATGAAATTCGTACAGGAGTGACACGGTGCTTCCCGCCACATCCCAGTCCATCTAATGGAGTTTGAGAATTCTACATGGGACCGGGCAGGGTATGGCTATCAGTGGCATGTCTCTTGCTATGTAAATGTGATCACCCAGTTAAAAGACGCGAGGAGACGTGATTCTGGCCTTACACAGATCCTTGGCACACAGGCTCCAGAAGGAGGAGATGACATCAACAAACACTGACTCCGAGCTCACTGTGGGTGAGGCCTCTTGGTTTGCATCTGAGGAACTGCTCATCAGAAGGGGAGAAGGGAGCTGCCACAGGGGGAGAGGTTAGAACTCTGCTACCTGGGGACGCCTGGCTGGCTCAGTCAGTGAAGCGTATAACTCTTGGTCTTGGGTTTATGAGTTCAAATCCGACATTGGATGTAGAGATTACTTAAAAATAAAATGATGGGGCGCCTTGGCGGCTCAGTGGGTTAAGCCTCTGCCTTCAGCTCAGGTCATGATCTCAGGGTCCTGGGATCGTGCCCCGCATCAGGCTCTCTGCTTGGCGGGGAGCCTGCTTCCCCCTCTCTCTCTGCCTGCCTCTCTGCCTACTTGTGATATCTCTCTCTGTGTCAAGTGAATAAATACAATCTTTTTAAAAAAAATAAAAAATAAAATAAAATGTTAAGTGGTGCCTGGGTAGCTCAGTTGGTTGAGTGTCTGCCTTCAGCTCAGGTCATGATCCCAGGGTCCTCGGATCGAGCCCCACATTGCACTCCCTGCTCAGCAGAAGCCTGTTTCTCCCTCTCCCTCTGCTGCTCCCCCCCTGCTTGTGCTCTCTCTGTCTGTATCTCTGTCAAATAAATAAATAAAATCCTTTAAAAGAAAATTTTTTTAAAAAAATTAAAGAAAAAAAAACCCTCTGCTATCTGGATTGGTAACAGAAAGAAAAAGACATGAGATAGGCTCACACAATCTTAGACATCCTGGATGGGAGCCTCCTGACATCCTACCTCAGGCTCAGCCTGACCCTGGGCTCTGGGCCAGTCTCAAATTAGCCTCCAAAGACCATGATCTATTTCCCAGGACCAAGCACTGACTAGGCAATTCTTGGGTCCCTGGGCCCCGTGTCCAATGTCAGGAAGAGCAACCTGCCTGGGCCACACCAGTTGGGGTCTCTAAGAAGGGAAAGCAGAATCTTCCAGTGCTTTCAAAACCAGGGGGTGGGGGAGACAGGGCCACTGGCTGCTGACTCACAGGCTCCTGCTCTTGCAACATGTCCCTGAGCCACAGCACAGGGACCAACCCGGCATCACGTACACCTCACATTCTCCAACCTCTTGGTCCCCCTGAGCCCGGCGCATAGGCCCTGGACAGTAGATCCTCTTTTTTTTTCCCCCCCATTTTGATATATTTAATTTCTTGGTTCAAAAATCAGAAGTATAAAAGGGTATAGAGTGAAAGTCTCTCACCCCTATCCCCAGTCTGCCTCAGTCATAACACCCATGATGTATTCTTCCAGGCATTTTAATGCACGCGGTCTAAGCAACAGGAGCAGATACCACATTCCCCATCTTCTTTCTACAAAGAGGAGTGTAGTATTCCTCTTGTTCTGCACCTTGCTTCTTGAAGTGCTGGTTTTCTTTCTCTGAGGTGAAACTTAGTCCCAGAAGACCAAGATGGTGTCTCATAAGTGGCAGGCACATATATAATTGCCTGAAATTGATACCTCGGCCCTGCCCCATTCCTCTCAGGAATGGAGCAAACACACACGATGAGTTGCTTGCCTCCCTGAGTGCCAACACCTGGCTCGAGGACAGGAAGGGATAGGCAGACTAGTTATAACCACAAAGATTCTAGGCAGAGTGTCTTTCACCCAGGTCCAGGGGACACTAGGGGAACTGGATCTTCCAGCTCCCTCTGAGAAGAACTAGAAGCGGGCTCTCTGGGGGCTGCTGTTTCAGCTGTCTACAGCAGGGGGCGTTACTGGCATGTGCTGGAGGCCACAGGTGAGACGCTGAGGTTCCCCTGCAGGCAGGGAGGCAGAATCCCTGGCACCGGGACGGGGAGGGGAGAGAAGCCAAGCTCAAAAAGCGGGGATCAGGAGGCAGGAGCGCCCTCCCTGCACAGCACCATTCCATCCGCCAGCCCACAGCCTCGGGCGGGCCACTTGGGTGGGTCTGCGGGGGCTTCAAGGGAAGGCCAGTGTGGAGGACAGGAAAGCCAAAGGAGACTGCCACCTCACACATCTCCTGTGAAGCCTAAGAGGATGGTTGCCTCTTAGGCTTGGAAGAGGCTGTCCGGGAAGTCATGGAATAGGGCATTCTCCCCAAGAAGGAGCCGAGAGTTCCAGCTCTTGGTTCAGCCGTGTGATCCTGAGAAACCCAGCATTTCCCTGTGCATTGGGTCCCTCTTCTGTGAAGCAAGAGTAATGGGCACCCTAAATACCCTGCCCACTTTGGAGCCTTCGAGAGCATCCCATGGAGAGCATCACACAAGAGAATATGGCAGTTGCCTGTTCACACAGGGAAAGATGTATAACACCCTCTCCATTCAATCAGATACATTGTGAAAGTTTTCGGGGATGAACAACTCAGGAAAAGCGCAGGGCTGTGGGGCAACGAGACTCTCCCAGACCATTATCAAGGCCACAAACCCGTCTGACCTAAGGCGACTTGGCAACAGCTACGAAAATGTTTAACTCCACAGTTACACTTTGAAACATTTGTCCTACAAATGTATCTTCACATACATCTACAAATCTGCACATACATCTACAAATGTATCTAACAATTGGAGTTGCATTTGTAACATTTCACGCAGCCCTGTGCTTTTACCATTTCGGTCAAATACAAACAGAAAAAGACACGCTTGCTCCTGGGAGCAGAGCAAATGTCTGTAAGTATTTGCAGGAAACTATAACAGAGGAAGGCTCTGAGGTACAAGTGGAGACGCTGAAAATCAAGAGAGGGATTTTTATTTTTCAATTCATACTATTTTCCACTATTTGATGGGGGGGTTAGGCAAAAAGTATCCCTTGTTTTTATTATTCCAAAAATCAATTTTTAAAAGAATCCAGACCCAAGGAAAGCTGACCGAAGTGATAAGGAGAAAAGAAAAAAAAAAAAAGGATTCTGGGCCAACTAGGGGACTTAACACATGATCTCTTCCCTGTCAGGGGGCTCTGGAGGGACGGATGGAAATTCGCATCATGGTCCTGGGAAACCACAAGCATCCTACTGAACCATGAACAGGTGCAAAGTGATCCCCACAAAACCCGATGCAAGTTAGAGCACTCTTGAGGGGAAGGCTGGTCACGTGACAGAGGCCTGGGGGGTGGAATTTAGGAGCACTGGGCTCCACGTGTTCCTCACGCCCACCACTCACAGAGCTCAAGAGCACGCGCGGGCATCAGCCACGAGGGTACCTGTGATCTCGTGCTGCCGAAGCTCGTTGTATTTGTATGACTGCTCCAGGGGCTTGATGGAGGAGTGGTAGATCTTTCGAAGCCGCTGCAGCACCACTGGAGGCAGAGAAGGGTGAAAAGGAAGAGACCAGCTCACTTTGCAGGGTAGCTGCCCACCCCAGGCCAGTGGGGAGCAGGGCCCCCCCCATGTTCCCCCCCAACCCACACCCGCCTCCTCTGGCAGCCTCACAGGAGTTGGTCCACATCCCAACCCTTGGAAATTGTTAACCAAAAGGCATTCCTTCCCACCCTCAAAATCTCCTGCATTACTTTTTTTTTTTTTTAAACCTGATCCTCTTCTCCCTCCAGGGAAAAGCAACTCACAGAGTGAGGCTGGGAGCCTGCAGCGTGTGAGGCCCAGAAGGAAGAACTGGGGCCCCAGACCAGGCCATCTAGACCTGACCCTCCCACAGCTCCCCTCTAGCTGTGTGCCCCATGCAAACTGTGCAAACCGAGGCTGCTCTGAGCTCCAGCCAGCTCGTCAATGAAGAGGAGGCATGAGCCCCGCTGAAAGCCTTGGGTTATTCTGAGCGTGAAGTGCCAGAAAGAAAAGAGCTTTATAAACTGTAAAAACCAAAGCAGATGGGACGAACTCTTACGAGCAAGCCTCCCCAGCCGCCGCATGAAGGCTGGCACTGGGCCCCAGGCAGCAGCACTGGGATTTGTCCTTGGCCCTGGCCCTGTTCCCTCAGCTTGGATCACCTCTCCTCCTCCCTGCCAATCGAGAACTCCCACCTGGGCCTTGGACGCTGCTTTGGGAGCCTCTTCTACAGGGCCCCCATTTCCAGGGCTCTCAGCCCTGGAGACCTGCTTGCCTTGGAGCCCAGACCCAGCCCGACCCCCAGTCCCAGGTCCTTCCTCTGGTTACCAGAGTAATCATCCACGGGCTTGTCCTCGCTCAACATCAGAGTCTTCTCGATGTGGGAGCGGTCCCTCATCTGGGCTTCTTCACTCACATCCTCTGCCTCTTCTGGGGAGAGAAGCAGAGAGCAGGGTTAGGGCAAAGCAAAGGGCCGGGCTTTGCTCTTGGCAGGAAAAGGCATAAGGAAGGGCTGCGGGAAGGCTTGCCAAGTTCAACTGAACTGAGTTCTATCTTGAGAGACTCTGAAAATCCAAACTCAGCTTCCGCTAAACTCCATGATCCATTTCACATATTCAGCAAAAATGAATTGAGCACCTAGCATGGGTCAGGCACAGAGCCCCACGCTGGGAAAGCGGTGGTGCCCAAAACAGACACAACTCCTACCCTTGGAGAGTCTTCCTATAGTCACATGGGAAGAGGGGGAGAAATCGTCTTGAAAGTAAGGTAATAATTACGGTCAGTGTTGTGGCTATGGCAGGAAAGATTCCAGAAGCTATGGGGGCCTAAGACGTGTGCCTGTGAAGTCTGAGCAGGCTGGTCAGAAACCCCACCTGGGAGCTGAGATCCGAGGGGAGGAGTTAAGTAGGTGAAGATAGGGCAGGAGACAGGAGTGGTTTACAGGAGTCGGCCTTACTTCCTAGCAGCACTGGCAGCCAGGGAGAGGCTCTAAGCAAACAACTGACCCAACAAAATGAGCATTTTCTCAGGATCACACAGGCTGCTGTGGGGCTTGGGTGGGAAGAGCTGCGGCTGGATGTCTTGGGGCAGGGGGTGGCCAACCATTCCTCTGCCCAAGCGGGAGATGCCCCGGTGACCCCCTGCAAGTTCCCAGGGAGGGGTGCCTGCGTTATAGGCCTACCAGGTGGGATGGACTTGGGTATGAGGGATAGGGGAAACGAGTCCCATAGGCGATGGGAGCAGAGAAGAATCACTGTGTCTCATGCAACACCTCAGGAACAGATTCTCCAAGATCCCCCAGGACAGCCCAACCCCAGATACAGCAAGGGGTAGGGGGTGGGGGGTGGGGGATGGGGGTCCTCCAGCTGGCTGCAGGCCCTCCGCGTTGTGGAGGGTGCAAGTACCCAACAAGCAATGTGGAAACTAAATCCTGCAAGGAAATCTGTGGGGGGGCCACATTGGAGACAGACGACTGAGCCCAGGCCCTGTACCCTGCAACCCGCTCTTGGTCCAGGCCAGCATATTCGGATACAGCATGGGGGGCACCGGCCATCCCTAGGATGCACTACATCACTAGTGTCGGCCCCGCCCTCCCCTGTGCCCCACCCCCCAGGCCTGCAGGATACCAGGGTCCCTCATTATCACCATCCTGACCCCACTCCCCGTCCACCCCACCAGACCTGGCCTAGTCTTCAAGGGGAGACCCCAGGGGGCTCTGAACACACCCTACCCACAACTCTCTCCACCAGCCTGCCACCACAGGGCCTCAAAACCTGACACTGTGCCCTGTGTCCTTCAGGTTAAGGCAGTGGTCTGCATTGAAGTGGATTGAGGAACCCTAGCAGGAAGGCTCCAGAGGGCCTCACTCAGAAGTGACCAGGTTATTCTGGGCTGTCCATGGTGCGGCCTCCCACTGGTCCCTCCAAACAGGGTTTAGTGGCTCATGAGCAGCCCAAAGGCCCCTCATGGGCCAGGCATCCTGGCTGGGGCCTCCACCCAGCAAACCCAGAGCTGGCTGTGGGTTCTCCCGCCGCACTCTGTCCCTGCCTAATCCACCACACACGTCTTGCCGAAGAGCGCAGCTGCCCCAGGGGCTGGGATCAATCTTCATGCTCCCCTACCCTGAGGCCCCTCCTTAGGCTCCTCTGCCTCGTCTCCCTCGGGCCCTGTATTCAATTCCTCAGAGCTCAGCTGGGGCCCCTCATCTCCAGGGCTCATGGTTCCTGCTGCTTCCTGGGGTTCCCCGGCTTCCTCTGAGGCGCCCCCAGTTTCTTCTGAACTCTCCCCGTCGCCACTGTCCTCCTCAGATTCTTCTTCAGATGGCGCTCCTCCTCCTTCCTCGCCTCCACTGTGGTCACCGCTCTCTTCTTCAGAGGAGGCCTCATCCAGGGCCTCCTCAGTCAGCCCTGGGGCCTGGGCCTCAGGGGGGTGGTCCTCCTGGGTGTCCCCCGCTTCAGAGCTCTGTGCATGGCTGGTCTCTGAGACTGAGCTGGGCTCCCCCTGGTCCTCGGCCCCCTCCTTGGTTTCTGTGTCCATGTCCAAGCCTCCATCTGGCACTTCTGGCTCCTGATCACGCCCTGGGCTGTCCTGTTGTGTCTCAGGGGCATGAACCTCCATGACCTCCATGGCAGGAGAGGCTCCCAAGCCTTCTGGTTGCACAGTCCCTCCTGCTGCCCCCTGTGTGGGGTGGTCCCCTAGAACCTCCTCAGCTTCCTCGGGGACTGCGCCACTCCCAGCCTGCCCTTCAGCCACCCCGGCAGCCCCCTCCTGTCCTGGACCCTCTCCCAGTCCCAGCTCTTCCCCAGGCCTGCCCTCTCCTTCTGCTGGAAGGATGCTGGCTCTGGGTGGGCCTGATTCTTCCTCCCCAGGTCCCGCAGGGTCCCTGGGGGCAGCTGACTCTGAGGCTGAGGCATTGGAGAGGCTGGATTCGGGATCAGGGCCCGGGCTGGTGCTGGCAGGGGGCCCAGCGGCTGTCTGCTCCGAGCTCTCAGCCTCCCTGCCATCCGGGGAGTGAAGGAGCAGGGTCTTCTCTTGAGGGGCCGCCTCTGCATAAAGCGCCCTTTCCTTCTCCTCTAGACTTGCTTCTCCAGCAGAGAAATGATTCTCCAACAAATTGCCAACATCTTCCGTGCCACCCGAAGCGGAAACTTGCCGTTCTAAATGATTAGAACACCATTGGTCAGTTTCACAGGGTTGGCACTCACTCCGCTTCTCTAAAGAATCTAATGCCACTTAGCTCCTGTCCTCCGGGAGGGAGGTGTGGACCTCCCTCCCTGCTCCTCACAGCTGCCCTCTGAGGCAAGCAGAGTGGCCATTACTCGGCCTTCCACCCGAGACCTGGAAGCTGTGGCTCGGGAATTATCACCCACTGTCCATCCCTGGGGGAGGGAGCAGCCGAGCCGCCTCTAGGACCCCACCCTTGGCCCCTGACTTTCGAGCCTCCACTGGGTCCTGATCACCATGGGGAGGGAAATTTAGGGATCCCTTCCAGCCCTTCCTCAAGCTTGCAGCAGGCACGTGCAGCGAGGCTCACCAAGAGATCTTTCCAAGATAGGACAGATGCTTGGACATTCCACCCCCTGGTCAGTTCCTAGAGTCATTAACCCGCAGGCTTTTTACACTGCTATCAGCAAAGGAGTGAAAACAGGTGTGCACTGGCCAGATCATCTCAGGTTCCACAGCAAGTACTTAGGGGATTACTTGTGGCTCTCGGCCTTATTAAGTCACACATTCAACTTTGTCCCCTTAAGGGCAGGCATTTGCTGGCCTTGCTAGCTTAAATTAGAGGGGACACGGCCTGAGGAGGAGGAGCTACCCAAAACAGGCAGGGCCAGGGCTTCCCAGTGGCCTTAGCCAACCCCTTCCCGAGGGGATCCCCTCCTAAGGGCCCGTGGCTTTACCAAGGAGAGCTGAGGGCACAGAGAGAGCAGAGCAGGAGAAAGTCCGTGGGGGCCTAGTCTGTGCCAGAGACATCCGTCATGAGGTAAGTGGGATTTATGTGTAAAATGGGGCCAGGAGAGAGGATTGGGTCTATCCCTTCTGTCCCCTCCCACCCAGGTTGGGACCTATTTAAGAAGGAGGCTCCAGGAGGGGGACAATGGAGGTCTGGCACCCTACCTTTCGGTAGCTGACACAGCCCCAAAGACTCCCTTAACTCACAAAGATGCTTTCTGAGGAAGCAGCATCCCACCTCTGCTGGGGACAGCATGGTACTCCCACCTCTGCCTCCCACAAAGAAAAACCACTTCTTGGGGCTCCCCTTTTAGGGTAGCCTCCAAGGGCCAAGAACAACTATTTTCTCATTGACCCCTATAGCAGCAACCTGCGATCAAATTCAGGAGGAAATTCGGGTGCCTTTAATTATAAAGGAGCCACTTATACTGATAGGACACTTTCACATTCATGACCTCACCTGACCACCTTGATTACCATCAGACACATTTCAGAAGGTCTAGAGAAAGTCTTTGACTTGCCTAAGACAGCAGGTGGCCAGTGAGTGACTGGAATCTAGAACTGTCTACTCCTCATCCAAGCCTCCTATGTCAACCTATGTTTAGGGGTGCACACAGAAACGCCTTCTCCCTGAGACCTCACCCCTCCCTGCACACACCTTCTGTCCACATCCAGACTGCAAGAGCTATGGCATTGATAATCCTCCCTGCGTTCCCCCAGACCCTGAGAGCCACAGAAAGTGCCAGGGAGAGAGATCCGTGGTGACACCTGGGTACAAGGAAAACTTCTGGTTCCCCCAGGGGAGAGTTGGAGGTTACCTGTTAAAATTTTCTTTCCTTATCTCCTAATTCTTCTGTTTCCATCTCTATCCCCCCTGACTCCCTAGAGAAAAACTTATGGCAGGAACTCTGTTTAACTCATCAATACTGACAGTCTCTGAGCAGCAAGATATGGGTACTATACCTCATAAGAGATACATTTGTACAAGCTTTCAGCATGCCAGGCAATTTGTTAAAGCATTTCATGCAAATAAGACATTAACTGATCTTACTCGATTTACTTCATCTCACTTGCTTCTGGAAGACAAGTCTTCCTCTTGCTATTTTTACAGCTGAGATCAGGACTGAAATCTGAGACACTGAATGCCTTGCCCAACACACAGCTGGCAACTGGCTGAAGCCATTTAACTACAGAGCAGCAGCAGCCGGGAGCTTGGTAGAGATGCAGACTCTCGGGCCCCAGCTCAGACCCACTGAATTAGAATCTGCAGTTTTACAAGATGCCCCGGTGAGTCATTTTCACTTTAGTTTGAGAAGCACCAGTCTATACCAGGGGATAAAAATGCTTCTGACGCAGTGGTTCTGGGCACTGGGTACACATTGGAATCACCCAGTTCTTGGTGCCATTCTTCCCCTCTCCTCAGAGGTTCTGATTGAATTAGGATATATCCCAAGCATCAGGACTTTAACAAAAACAAACAAACAAAACAACAACAACAAAACAACCTTGAGTAATTCTACTATGCAGCCAAAGCTGCAAACCACTGATAAACCAAATAATCCTGAACCCTGAGTCCCTGAGCACAAGACTTCTGCTCCTGGACCCTCCCCACTCTTGTGCCCACCAGGGACTCCCGAGTTGGATGAGTCACTCAAGGCTTGGCATTTGCCCTTGGAATAGCAACGGTCCATGCTTCTCTGGTGAATCTAGCCCTTTCCTCAGGCCCTGTTGCCCTCTATTATTGATGATGATAATGATGATGATGATGGTAGGGATGGATGGTAAGGATGGTGATGGTGGCAATTGTGGTGATGGTGATGATGATGGTGGGGATGGTAGGGATGATGGTGGGGATGATGGTAAGAACTGTGGTGATGGTGATGGTGATGATGATGCTAAGGATGGTGGTGATGGTGATGATGATGATATAAGGATGGTGGGGGTGATGGTGGGGATGGTGAGATGCAATGGTAAGGATGGTGGTGATGGTGGGGACAATGATGGTGGGGATGGTGGTGGTGATGGTAGTGATGATGGTGAGGATGGTGGTGGTGATTGTTATGGTAGTGATGATGGTAAGGATGGTGGTGATGGTAGTAATGACGGTGGGGATTGGTGGGGATGGTGGGGATGGCAGAAATGGTGGTGGTGATGGTGATGATGATGGTGGGGATTGTGGGTGGAACATACTCTGGGTCTGACCATCTGTGGTGTTTCTAATATTCTCAGAACACCCTCTGTCCCTAGTAAGGGTGAAAGGGCTACATAATCCCAAGGGAGATGAGGACAGACTTTGGGGGCTTAACATGAACTTCACATTGTTTATTTCCACTCCTGGGCCCCTGACAGGAGAGTGTGTGTGTGTGTGTGTGTGTGTGTTTCTGTGTCTATGTGTTTCTGTGTGTCTGTGTGTGTACATCCATATCCTTCCCTGGTTTTTATGATTTAGTGTCAAGCTGTCACTGACCTGCTAAGCAATGTGGAGCAAAAAGTCCAAGGGTGATACCTTCATGCCCTGTGACCTTTCTTCCCAGGCTTAAATAACTCTGATGGAAAAACCTCTCAATGAAACAAGCTGTGCCACTGACCCCCAGAGCCCAGTTCCCAAGAAGCGGCTATGCCATTGGGCCTGATATGTCCTCTGGGAGGCAGTTAGAGGCTTCAAGAGCCTCTGATTAAATTCAGTTCAATTCCATGAAATCAAATCCAGTGTCTTCCCTCCCTCCCTGATCTCCCCAGCATCTAGCTGAAACCCCCCAGTGGTCCCTGGAGGAGGTAGGGGAAGGCACAGGGCACCCCAGACACCCCAAAAGGGCTCAGACCCTGGTAAGATGAGTCTTGGTCTGCCCTGGGACACACCGTGCTGTACTGTATGTGCCGCTGCCAAGGCAGCTGCCCTGACCTGGGCAGGCCTGGGCGCTTGCATCCGAGTACACAAATAGCAACCCCAGCTCAACCCCACAGACCACGGGAAGGCCCGCGTGCCAGGCAGAGCATGGCCTAAACCGGGTCTGCTTTCTCTCCTGACACCGCCTCTGCCGTCTTTGGAGTCTTTCGGCAGCTTGCCTCACCGGCGGGCCCAGCGGGGGCTCCGGGCTCAGTTCCTCTCTCTACCACCAGCCAGCTCCTAGCCCATTCCAAAGCACTCCTCACACAGACTCAGAACTGTGGAGTCACCAGTGGCCTGAGTCCAGGTGCAGAGGAGGAAGCTCTGGCCAGGGAGCTTTAGAGACTTTCCCAAGGTCAGGATAGGGTTGTGACAGAGCCCAGGTTCATGGCTCTCAGTCCAGAGTTCGTCCTGCCCCCATGTAGCTTGCAAACCCTGTCCCACGAAGGCTAGAGCTCCATCGATGGGTCTCGTAGGTGTGGGAAGATGAAGGAGCTGGGGCTCAACCACCCCTTTATCTCCTGGCAGCTGCTTCCCTTGGGCCAGTCTGTGCCTCCCAGGGACAGGATAAGGGGCCTAAGGAAGGGGGGGGTGACAGACACTGCTCCTGCCTATCCTGCCTTGTCCCTAAAAATTCCACTAGCTTCCTATTGATCATTTTCCCCAAAAGTCCAAGGAGCCCCCCATATAGCATCTGCTGACCAATGTTTGCCAGGCACTGAGCTGGGTGATGTCTCGCCCTCACGCAGAACTTTGTGCTTCCAGAAGTGGTTTTACGTTCTTCTTCCCTGCCCCCGGCAGCCCTCTGAGGCATGGGAAGCAAGGACTATTAACCTCTGAGGAAGCGGACACAGGAAAGTCATTTGCCCAACAAGCATTCCAGGAATGGGCTCGAGCTCGGGCCAAGACACAAAGCGGAGTTCCCGGGCCACATGTGGGCAGTACCCGAGACCCGCGGGGCTTTCCAAGCAGGGACGCCCAGTCTCCAAGGGCGGGTCAGTGTAAGTTGCATGTTCCAGAAGGTGATGCTAACGAGCACCGATGTTTGAGAATCATGGCTCTGAGCCACCCTGGCTGCCAGGTGTCAGGGAGTCTGTGTTGAAGCTGGAGATCAGGAGAAGGAAGGTCAGAACCTGAGATTTTGTTTGGCTGACCTGTTCTGAGGCCACCTCTAGAGGCTGAATTTATTCAGTGCTTCCACAGAGTAGAAGGTAAACTCAATCCCACCTGTCCAAGACTCCTTAGCACACGTGTTTCTAAGGCTCGGCCAAGGTTATCCTCCATGTGTCTTCTCATCCATTTCAAACTACGGAGTCC